CGGGAGGACCTATGTTTTAAAACCAGCCCACAACTCCACTTTGAGAAACACCACTGTAGAGAAAGATCTTTTCTATTGAACTGCCAGAGCCTAGATTTGATTCCCACTTGAGCCTTTGGCCTCAGTGACAGCAATGTTTTCCAACATGGTACTCGTTTCTCTGCAGAGACATGACATAATTTTAGGAGGTACACAACTGAATATTTAAAAGGCCTATGTGTTCATTTATATCTATATTTTAAATTATGCATCTCAGATCATAGTTTTTATAGATATTATTCCTTAGAAAAAGGCTAATTTTATTTTAAATGAGTCAGTTTAGGAACAATTAAAAGAAACACACTGGCCAGGCGTGGTGGCTTATGCCTGTAATCCTAGCACTCTGGGAGGCCCACTGGGTGGATCACTTGAGGTCAAGAGTTCAAGACCAACCTGGCTAACATGGTGAAACCCCGTACCTACTAAAAATACAAAAATTAACTGGGTGTGGTGGCACGCGCCTGTAATCCTAGCTACTCGGGAGGCTGAGGCACGAGAATCGCTTGAACCCAGGAGGTGGAGGTTGTAGTGGGCTGAGATCGCGCCATTGCACTCCAGCCTGAGTGACAGAGCAAGGCACTGTCTCCCCCCGCCCAAAAAAAAAAAAAAAACAAAGAAAAGAAACAGATTACGTATATATTATAATAATAGATGTGGTAAAAGATATTACAAGAATCGTGACTGTGGCACTCAGATGTCTGAAAGCCCTGGGTTATGGAATTGACTCACAGACTTCAGTTGTGCATTTTTTTCCTCAGGTAACCATTTTTCTGTTCTCCCCGTCTTTCTTTTCCTAGTTGGTCCTGTCTTTCACGAAGTATAATTAGAAAAATCCTCCATGAGGAAAGTGGCAGCTATTTTTGTTTGCCTAGGCATAGAGTCCTTCCCACCCTCTGTCTGACTTTCTGGATCCTCATGGATGGTCACCTGCTGTTTTCTTTCCAGGGAGAGGTCATTCCTGATTCTTCCCAAAGTAGGACTTACTTTGTAAACAATGACTTAAATAGTCATTTACAGTTAAACTGAACTGTTTACAGTTTAAAAACCCTTCTACCAATTTCACTTAGCAACTAATCTGTTTCAGGATCCTTGGAACAGAAAGAGCAGGCAGTTATGTTTGGTTTTATGGCAAACTCTTACTAGCACCACAAAGGACAGGATTCTGTTTCCAGTCCTGCTGTACTTATGACTGAGACGATCTTGCCTCGATTTTTTTTGGTCCACCTTAAATGGGATTAAGAAAATTTTTATTAATTTAAAGCCGCAAATTTTGAAATACAAAGTAATTTGGACTGGAGCAAGACTAAAGTTTACATCCCATGTTCATGCTCTTGAACTTATAAAAATAAAATATTTATTATGTTGCTGATTACAAAAGTAATACTCATGCATTGCAGAAAAAAAATTTCATTACAAAAATTACTCTTGGTAAACACAAGTTCCTTGGGCTGGTTTTATATTCACCAGATAAATCATTCTCTGAGCAAATATTTCTTGAGGCCTCCTATGTGAAAGAAAATTGTCTAAGTCTGTAGATGAAGTCTACACGTGGCCTCGTGGAGTCAGAGAGGGGTAATTGGATGAGATTAAGAGCTTTTGCTCATTAAAAGGGAAAACTGGCAGCCCACCCTAGGCAGTGACTCCCACCAGCACTCTAGGGAGGAAGTGTCAGGCCTTGAGCCCAAGCTAAGCCATCATATTCCCTGTGACCTGCATGTATACATCCAGATGGCCTGAGGCAACTGAAGATCCACAAAAGAAGTGAAAATAGCCTCAACCGATGACATTCCACCATTGTGATTTGTTCCCGCCCTACCCTAACTGATCAATTGACTTTGTGACAACACACCCTCCCCACCCTTAAGAAGATACTTTTTAATATTCTCTCCCACCATTAAGAAGGTACTTTGTAATATTCTCCCCACCCTCGAGAATATACTTTGTAAGAAGATCTACGCTCTGCCCACAAAAAATTGCTCCTAACCCCACCGCCTATCCCAAACCTGTAAGAACTAATGATAATCTTACCACCCTTTGCTGACTCCTTTTTCGGACTCAGCCTGCTTGCACCCTGGTGAAATAAACAGCCTTGTTGCTCACACAAAGCCTGTTGGTGGTGTCTTTGCACGGACACGCATGACAGGAAGGCTTCTCTCTGGGGGCTTTCAGGAGTCTAAGGTCTTGGAGACAGAGAGGTAAAGGGAGAAGGCACTCAAGGTAGTGGGGAAAGAGCGAGAAAATCTGTAAAGAAAACCAGGTAAGCTGTGTTTGGATTCTGGACCTGGAAGAGGCCTGGAGAGTGGCCAGTTCAACTTTTATTTTCTAAAGCAGGTAACTGACCTCTTTCAACTGGTGTTCTGTTTATTTTGCAAACAATGACTTTGAATATTTTGATTTCAGACACCATAAATTTGAAGTGTAGAATAGAACATTGCCAAAGATAAACAAAGCTGGATACTAGTTAAAGTGGGAAGGATGGTTTTGTTCAGTCATAATGATGGCAATAGGAAAGAGGCTCCAGTGTGAAGTGAATTCAACTTTATGGGAATAAAAGGCATGAGACTTTTAAAAAACTGGGGTGTGCTGCTAGGGGAAAGCCCTGAGGGGTAGTAGGGGTGTTGGTCCCTGTGACTAGGCTATCTGGGTTTGTTAACTGGAGCTTATCTGGAGGAGAAGCTAACTTTTGTGGTGTAAATTAGAGCATGGTCCTCTGAAGTTAGGCCCTCACCCTCCCACAGGATCTGAAAGTCGGAGTTGTCTCTTTGAAGGGTTGCTTTTCTCAGATCCTTGGAAGACAGTTCTGGATGGTTAGAAGATTTACATCTCAAAGGGACAGAGAAAGGATTTATCATTGCAACTTTCTAAGTAACTGCTTTAAGAGAGGGTTCACGGGGCCAGCTGCCTATTACCAGGGTTTGACTGGAATAAACAGGACATTCTCCTGGCAGTGATGAACTTTCTCAGGCAGGCATTTTAAAGGGGGCCATCCTGGGGACATGGATAACTGCTAGAAGCTGTGCTACAGTTTGGTCAAGGAGAGAGTCTTTACCAACATTGAGGTGGAAAAAAATCATGCATTTTACTACCAGGAAATTGACAGGGACTTTTAGAGGCAATGGTTTTGGGATAATGAGTGAGACAGAATCCACACGTCAAACATTATATAGTGTCTGGATGGAAAGCGCAAGCAGCCAGTTTAGATAAAACTAGACCAAAATAATACTAGAAGACTAAAAGTAAAAAAATGAGTAGGCAAATGCTAGTTTTTTTTCCTAAAGAAAACTTGTTCAAACTTGGAATATGCTATGCTACTTTTCTAATTCCAGGTGGCAACAAAGGTACAATTCCTGACTTTCCTGTCTGACTGTAAGCTGCTTGTTTGCAGGACTCATGCCTTCCACTATTTTGTGTCTCCACAACCTGACAAATACTGCACAGAGTGGGCACTAACAAAGCCCTTTATTGGTGATGACATGATGCTGCATCTTGCTTTCATTGAAGACAATACCTTCCAGTAGCACCCTTGTAGATAAACTATGGAAGTCTAGGAAGGATGACAGTATCTTCTGGTGGGTGTCAAGCTGCTTGAATAATGGAACTTGGCAAGTGTTAAACTGCTAGGTAGATGCAAAGATGGAGAACCAACCTTCCTGGCCGTGCATTTTCTTCCTCAACACCAATGATTTGGGTCAAGACACAGAGAGCTTAACTAATGTGTTTATGGAGGAGGATTGGTGACAGAATGAAATTTTAAAATAGCTCCATGTATTGGAACCCAGGATGAAATAAAGTGACAAGTAGTAGGTTCTGATCCTTCTCCAGCTTGACCAGGGTGACAAGTTGCTCTAAAATTTAAGAAGTTAGCCATGGAATAAAATTCAATATTCTTTTAATAAATATGCAAAAATATCTCAAGAGTTTTAATACTTTCCCTGATCTACGTTTTAAAACCAGCTTCCTATGGCACACTGAATGGCACGTATTTTGCAATATAGCATAAATGTTAGCGAAACCCCAACCAAATATGTCGCATGCATGTTGGAGAATGAAATAGCTCCAGACAGTGCAACACTTTGAGGTACACCATTTCTGATTTGTGTGTTCAGGCCCAGGTAAAGCAGGAATCAGGTTTTTCCTCTAATTTAATCCTCCTGGCAGCAAAAAAAAATGTGTTAGGAGCAATGAAATTGTTGCCTATCACCTGAAAAAACAGCTTTCTTTGTTATTTTTATTTTTAAAATACATGCTTATTGTAGCCTGGGCATGGTGGCTCACACCTGTAATCCTTTGGGAAGCCAAGGCAAGAGGATCATTTGAGCCAGGAGTCCGAGACTAGCCTGGGCAACATGGCGGAACCCCATCTCTACAAAAATTAGCTGGGCACAGTGGCCTGCGTCTGTAGTCCCAGCTACTTGGGAGGCTGTGGTGGGAGGATCCCTTGAGCCTGGAAGATGGAGGTTGCAGTGAGCCGAGATGGCACCACTGCACTCCAGCCTGGGTGACAGAACAAGACCCTGTCTCAAAAATATATACATATGTGTATATATATACACTTATATATACATATGTTTATATATATGTATATGTGAACATATATATATATATATATATATATATATATATATATATATATAGGCTTATTGTAAAAAATATATTGGAGGCCAGGCACGGTGCTCCTGTAATCCCAGCATTTCGGGAGGCCAAGGTGGGAGGATCACGAGGTCAAGAGACCGAGACCATCCTGGTCAACATGGTGAAACCCCATCTCTATTAAATATTAAAAAAATTATCTGGGCATAGTGACGCATGCCTGTAGTCCCAGCTGTTTGGGAGGCTTAGGCAGGAGAATTGCTTGAACCTTGGGAGGCGGAGGTTACAGTGAGCTGAGATCGCACCACTGTACTCCAGCCTGGGACAGAGCGAGACTCTGTATCAAAAAAATAAATAAATATATCGGAAAACACAGAAAATAAAAACAGCCATAATCTCTCCGTACTAACCCCCACCCCCAAAAAACCACTTATAACATGTTGATGGGTTTCCTTCCTGTCTTTGTTCTATTTGTTTATATCATTTGACCTAGTTCATATTGTGGAGGGAGAGCCCTTTCTTTAGGGTTTTGCTGTAAAGGTCAAGGGATCCAGCAATTCACAAGAAAATAATGACACTTTACATCTGTCTAACTGTTTTAGTTTATCAAAGCACATTGACATGCATTATCTTATTTGGTGATCACATCAGACAGGCCATTTATCAGGATACTAAGATCAATGGGGAGAGAGGGGACCGTGCCCCATACCCCATGGCTGGGGAGGCTCAGAGCCAGGATTTGAGGTTTCTAAATTTCTTATCTAGAGATTTTTACCCTATAATAATTTTTATTTTTCTATCCAATTAAAGTCTATATATCTATGTACAGAAATTCCGTTTGAGACCTAGAACTTCTACTTCCTGTGGTTTATTTTTGCGCCATAGAGCACATTTGTATTTAATGTGTCTTCTGGGCTACCAGCCTGGGAACTTTGCCATCATCACATGCACAGCAGCAGTTTGCTCACCATACACCAGTTAGCTTCCTCTACCTCCTGAGCAGCTGGGCTTGGTCTCTGGCAGCAGGCATCTGGGGCATGTAGCTGCCTCTTCAGCTGTCCTGCCAACAGAAGAAACTTACCTCCCATCATCTTCCTGAGTGCCTGCCTCAGCTGCCATGTATGTATTCATTGCCGTGTCTATAATAAATCAGTGGATTCTTGCTGGAAGCTTGGACGTTTCAATGGAGAGCTTTCCAGTAAGTGGCACTTCTGGCTCTTTCCTTCCTGCGTAACCCTTGCCAGATTTCTTTACCATGAAAAGCAGTTCCACATTTGCGAAGGCTTTTAATTTCTTTTTTAAAAAATCTATTTGTGGCCAGACATGGTGGCTCATGCCTGTAATCCCAGCACTTTGGGAGGCCAAGGCGGGCAGATCACGAAGTCAGGAGATAGAGACCATCCGGGTCAACATAGTGAAACCCCGCCTCTACTAAAAACACAAAAATTAGCCAGGTATGGTGGCACGTGCCTGTAGTCCCAGCTACTTGGGAGGCTGAGGCAGAAGAATTACTTGCACCTGGGAGGCGGAGGTTGCAGTGAGCCGAGATTGTGCCACTACACTCCAGCCTGGGCAACAGAGAGAGACTCCATCTCAAAAAAAAAAAAAAAAAAAAAAGGAAATTTTTTTTTTTTGGCTTCTTTACCTATATAATCTTCCTGTCTTCTCCAACTCTAACCTTCTATGTAAGTCTGTAAGATTAGGCAGGCTTAACAGTTAGATGAAATGTAGGATTTTCTTGGAACGGATGTTAGAAAATGAGATTCACAGTGGCTGTAGGAGTTTAAAAAGAGGCAGCAAGAGAGAAAAGGAGACCTTGCAAAGAGAGAAATCAGGTGGAAGAAAGGCCATGGGAAACTCAGGAATTTCTGAATGGGGCATTTTAGCAAAAAATGAATGAAAAGTCAATGTCATATGAATCATGGTGTTGTGAACGTGAACATATCTAAAAATTGACTTTTGAAATATGTCTCCTCAACACTTGGAAGCTGACATTTCTTCTGCATGACATGGTTGTCAGTTTTATTTTCAAATATCAAAGACTATTTTTACAATCAAAATGTTTTTTCACATAAAATTTTTATAGTTTTTCTGAAAATTTGTGGTCAATTTATTCCCTGCACAGTCAAAGCAGTCAATTGCATAAACCATTATTCCTTCATTGCAAGCCCCTTAACGATTTAATCCAGAACCATCACTTATGTAAAGGTTCTAATGCCATTTGTTTCTGGATTTTGTTTTGTTTTCTCTTCATCTTTTTGAGACCAGTGAAAAGCTTATACAGCAGTTAGAAAAACAATAAGAATAATTGCTGTTCAAAGTGAGTGGATTAGTGAGTGAACCAATCTAGGTGGTCCAAATGCTTCCATTACCTCCTTGCCTGGGTTCTGATTACATCTAACCCAGTGTGGTGTCTGTCACCCCTGGACAGAGCTGTCTTAACAGTGAATACATCTTTACCCAGCATCTCTCTTTCTAAGAACCCCACTAGGACTGCTCTTTGGAAAAACATGATCAAGGCCACATCTGGGTGCCTGTGGTAAGCTGGCTAGTCATCCTAGCCCACCACAGATGCTAGTTGCCTTAGCACGCCCAGATGTACAGGTAAGAGCCAAGCAACCAAATCATGCTTTCTGCATCAAAGTAGCCAAAACTTTTTTTTATTGAACTCAGTGATACTTTGTTCAATTTGGTCAAGAATAAAATTGAGTAGTTCAGCATTACATTTACCAATTAGTGTTCTGCTTATCATCCCTAAATAACGCATCTCATAGGAGTGAAGAGCAAAAAATAAAAAATTTATCTCATTTTTTGGTGTCAACTAGTTTCAATATAATTATATTCAGTCCCCACTTATCTTGTTTTCCTTAACTAGTTGTTCTTTGATTTCAAATCTGCTATTCTCCCAGTGGGAAGATCGCCTCTTCCACATGTGGAAGAAAAAACAGATTCCTTGGGTTCCCAAGAAGCTGTTCACAAAGCCCCTGCTTATTTACAAAGTGAGATCGACGCTGTCCTACCTGAGCTCATTTTCAACCCTGAACCCTTTCCTGCGGGCCAGCTCCATGAGGAACGCTCTGCGGGTGGTTCCCATTTTCTTCTCCAAAATGAAGACGACCAAATCTTGAAATTTGATGTCTTGAGGAGAGGAGGCCATCAAGGCACCCGTCTGCCGCGGTCTCTTCTTCCGAGGGCTCAAGGGGGATGTTTGTGGTGGATCCATGGGAAGAGGCTGCTGCTGCCTCTGGCTGGCCCATCAGGTGGTGTCTCCAGAAGGGAGGGAGACTGCCACCCTCCTACATGAAGGGTTTTGATGTCATCTCACCAGCAGACTCTGAAGCCAGGGCAGGGCTTCATGGGTGCTGCCCTGGCAACAGCTTCCTGCCAAAGTATGATGGGGAATTTTTATCTCTGTTCAGTTCATTTGTCCAATATGGAGATCATAATGAAGACAGTCAATTAACCTTTGTTTTCATAAGCACAATCTCATTAGCTCCTCAGAGTAACCTTGTGAGGAAGGCAGGGAAGCATCGTTTGCATGTTATTTGTTTCTAAATGTACTGAGGCCCCTCTGTGGTCTTTATTTATTGATCCCTTTTAAACCTCCCAACTCACTTGCATTCTCCTCCTTTTGTAGACAATCATAACACTGTACTAGATGTCTGTAATTTGCATGGGTGTTATATTCTGCTTGTGGTTGTTTTGATTTTACATAAATGACATTGTTACATTTCTCATTCTGCCAATCACCTTTTTATTTCACTTGGAACTATGTTTTCCAGGTCTGTGTTCTAATTGTTCTGTTGCTTCTAACTGCTCCATAGTATTTCATGGTGGGCATTTACCACCTGTTCACTTACATAGGTACATTTTATAAACAAGAGAACCAAGGCTCAGTTATTCAAGATCACAGAATAAGGGGCAAAACCAGATCCTGAATTCAGTTCTTTGGATTCCAAATTCTGTATACATTTATTAGTTTTTTTAAGTGGATTAAGTTTGTCCAGAGAGTAGTCTGTTATAAACCCTAACATAGGTCTTCTTCAGTGGGATGGTATGACTTTTAGATGAGAATCACTGCCATAAGGAGACATTTCATAACTTTATGTGCAAAATTAAATTTGTCTTTCATTAATACACTCTATAGATCTCATTTCCTGAGCATCTGCTACATGGCCAAGGTAAGCACCTACCAGCCTTAGCTGACCGGATCCTCACAATACCACAGTCAGGTGGTCCTACCTTTCTCATTTGGCTAAACAATTTACCCAAGGTCACAGAGCTACTGAATTGTTACAACTGAGAAATGATTGAGCTAGGATTTGGACTCAGATCTGTCTGATTTTAAAAGACACACTCTTAACCACCAAGGAGCCTTCCTCTGTACTTGTCTTCTCCAATAACTAATCTGAGCTCTGCTCACCCTTTGTCCCTCTTTTTTTTTTTTTTTGAGATGGAGTTTCACTCTTGTTGCCCAGGCTAAAGTGCAGTGGCACAATCTCGGCTCACTGCAACCTTCGCCTCCTGGGTTCAAGCGATCCTCCTACTTCAGCCTCCTGAATAGCTGGGATTACAGGTGCATGCCACCACGCCTGGCTAATTTTTGTATTTTTAGTAGAGACGGGGTTTCACCATGTTGGTCAGGCTGGTCTCGAACTCCTGACCTCAGGTGATCATCCCACCTTGGCCTCCCAAAGTGCTGGGATTACAGGTGTGAGCCACCATGCCTGGCTGTCTGTGCCATATTATTTGAGACTTTTGCTATCTCCAAAAGCATATGAGCACCTCACAACCCTACTAGGGGAAGAGTGACGTGACAGCTGCCTTAAGTTATGGGCAAAGCACTCTGTTGCTCAAGAAAGCAAAATCAGAAATCTTCAGGTGGAAATTGTAGAGTAATAGATTCCAGTTCTCCTCAAGTAAGGACTGTTTAGTAACTCAGCTGTCTAAAAATATACAGAGAGCAGCTTTATACAGTGGTATGTTACATGTCATGAAAAGTATTCAAACAGGTGCTGGATAACTGTTTATTGAGCTGTAACAGAAGGGAATTCAGACATCTGGTAAGGGCCTATAATGTAGCTCTGAAATTCCCAGATACTATGACTCTTTGCTAGAGATCAACTGGGAGATGAGAGTCCATTTTGACCCTCACTATTAGGTGTTTGGTTACTGAAGAGCTGAATGCTTCATGTTAGAATGCAGTTGTAGCTGCCAAATGGTGCTGCAGCAGGGAGTATGTAAACCATTCTAGCAAGAATCTGGGATTGTTGTGTTCATTCCCAAGGTATAGCCACCTAATGGTAAAGGCGCGCCACCTAAGCAGTAAAGAGAATGGGGAGGTAGTACTGAGATGTGGCTAATAGCTCAGGCTTCGTCAGGCTGCCCATAAAAATTCTGTCTCTATTGCTTTGAAGCTTCAAAACAAGTTGCTTAACTTCTTTAAGCCTCAGCTTTACCTCGTCTGTAAAATGAGGACTGAGATAGCCCACATAACCTGCTGGGCAGAGTGCATGACACAAAGGTAGCACTTTCAATAAATGTCAGTTCATAGTCATTTATGTTTTGTCTTCAGAGACATTCCAATTCAATCTGAAATCAGATATATATGTTTTATAAAACTATGAAATCATCCAATGTCATATTTAATTTGCTTTGGGTCACTGGTATTGAATAGATTACCAACAAAAATTTCAAATGTACTGATGCCTGTCTGGTTATCAGGCTATCATCTCTCGGCTGCAAATCTACCTTTTTTTGTGGTGGATTCCATGAGGTTGAGGCCAGGACTTAGCAAATTCTCTTTCTCATTTGCCAGCTGACTTTATGTCAGGCTCTGCCAATGGCGATACCAGAGGGAGACCAAAAGTCTGGATAAGAGGAAAGAGTTGACCTTTTTTGTTTGCTTGCTGCTACTGTCAGGGTCTTCGCAGTAATGGTTCTCTACTCAGACAGCAGTGGTTGGTTCCAGTCTTTAGCTTTTTTCTTTTCCTTTTTGTCTTTTCTGCACAACCAGACCCAGCCTTACTGTACCCTTCAGAGGTATCAATACGAGCTAAGCGACATCTCCTCAAAGGTCTGAGTCCCAGCTCGGCAGAGGTTTCCCTATGAACTTCTATGGCACCAGGGCGACAAGCAGCACTTCCTTGTTAAAGACCTGTGTTCCAGCTCCATGGGAGCCCTGCTCCAAACTTCCAGTTTTCAGCAATCCCGGTTCCATCCCTTTGTTGCTCCAGCCCAGTGGTGTAGTGTGCTTCTTGCAGTTTCTTTCTCTGAGTTACCTCAATGTCCTCTTTTTGCTTTTTCAGCCACCATTAACGTAGTGAAACCAATCCCCTGTGGTGAAGGGAGGTGTGAAATAAGGTCTGAGAACACAGATGTCTCATTGCCTTTTCAGGAACTCAGTTAAATCGTGCTCATGAAGTGCCTCGAAAATAACAAAACACTATACAGAGTTCCCTTATCCTCTTTGGCATTGCTGCCAATAGCAGGAATTGATTTCTTCCTACTATACAACAATTTTCCGAAGCTCTTTGCATCAGACGTTGAGCACTCTCCTTGATCTACTAGATTGGTCAGTAATCTCCAAATCTCAGTGTCTTAAGAAAAGTTTATTTGCTTATGCTACTTGGTGGAGAATTCTGCTCCATTCAAGACTCAGGCTGTTGGAGGTTTCACATTTGTGTACCTGTACCACCTAAGCTATGAGCCCATCTCAGTCACCATGGCAGTGGGGAGAGCACTGAGATGAGGATGTCTTGCATCAGTAATTAAAAGCTTTGTCTCAGAAATGATAGACATTCTTGCTGGTCATAGCCCATAGGCCAGAACTAGTCACGCAGTCCCACCTAACTGCAGCAGGGCTTGGAAATGCAAGGGAGCACATGGGATCTTGCCACACCCAGGATTACATGATGTGCTGGTTGATGGTTGTGGAGACTCCCAGTTAAAAGGGTTGTTACTACATCTGCACTAAGCCTGGGGCAGAGAGCAGGGAGGCCCCAGAGCCCTGCACTTCCTGGAGAAGAACCTTTAAAAGGAGGACCACAGTGTGCAGTGTTCAGGCCACTCTGGGGCCTTTCTACAATTCCAAGCTGTTAGTGTGGATCTGTGGACAAGAAGGTGTGGTCCTTCTGAAACATCTCCATACCATCCATTCCTCCTTTTGAGCAGCATCTAGAGTGAAAAATCCTTAATACAGCATCAAAGGGCTAACCTAAGTGTGAGTCAGGTGCCTTTCCTGATTCCACAGTCTTCTGTGCCTCTCTGCCCATGAAAGCATGTGCCATCCTGTGTTGTAATGATTTAATCCCTTGTGTATACTCCACGCTGGACTATAAGTCTTGCTGTATTTACAGCTGAATCCCCAGCATCATAGTACAGTACCTGGTAAAGTAGGCTGACTAGTAAGTGTTTGAAGAACAAATTCAAATTCAAATGTAGTTGACTTTATTTATTTATTTATTTATTTATTTATTTATTTATTTTTGAGGTGGAGTCTCACTCTTTCATCCAGGCTGAAGTGGCATGATCTTCGCTCACTGCAACCTCCACCCCCCAGGTTCAAGTGATTCTCCTGCCTCAGCCTCCTGAGTAGCTGGGATTACAGGTCCGTGCCACCACACCCAACTAATTTTTGTATTTTTAGTAGAGACGGGGTTACTCCATGTTGGCCAGGCCGGTCTCGAACTCTCGACCTCAGGTGATCCACCTGCCTTGGCCTCCCAAAGTGCTAGGATTACAGACATGAGCCACTGCACCTGGCCGTTGATATTGTTATTAAGCTTTTACACTGTTTGGGCAACTGTGATATAAATCTTCTGCCATGACCACCTTTCTCCATCTTAAACATTCCCAATTAAATGTCCCTTCAATATGAGCAAGTAGAATACAGGTGTTAAGGAACCAGACGACCTGAAATCAAAACTCAGACATTTATGAGCTGTGTGACCTTGGGCAAGTTACCAAACCTTTCTGTGTTTCATTTCCCTTATCTCTGCAATGGAGATTAGAATGATTTCTATCTTACAGGTGCCTATGAGGACTAAAGCACTTCAAAGAGCACTGGCATGCAAGTTGCCACAACTGTCCATTGCTATTGTAATAGCCCAGGTTTCTCCTTGTTCCCCCTCCACTTCCCTGTGTTCCCATATACTTTGTAGGTAACCCTGTCACAGTCCTTCCCAATGGCCTTTTGCTTTCCCTAGACTTTTCCAAAAGTGGTGCCAGGCCCGCTTAGGAACAGCTGACACAGGAGGATCACTTGAGCCCAGTAGGTCGAGGCTGCAGAGAGCCCTGTTCATGCCACTGAACTCCAGCGTGGGTAACAGAGTTAGACTCTGTCTCAAAAAAGAAAATAAAACAAGACAAAAAAATAAAACAGACCTAGGACTCTAATGAGACCAGAGGGGTGTCCTGCAATGATTCATGAGAACACTGGTCCCATGAAGTGTTCCAGGCAAAACAAAAATTCTGTAGTGAATTAAGTGTAGAGAAACCAGAGAAACTCTATACAATGTGTGTTAGAACATTAAAGGTTTGTAATAAACTGTGTTCACCCATTGTATTCTCAACGTGCTTACCTTTTGTTTGTTTGTTTTGTAGAACACCTATAGCACCCTTCTGAATGCAACTGGAAGTATTGGTGCCTAAGGAGCTACACAAGCCTGAACCTCCTGCTACTTGCCAGATGTATGAGCTTGAGCCATTCCCTTACCCCATGGGGGGATCACAGCTTCCAACATGTAAAATAGCAGTCATAGTGCCAACTTCTTCACATTATAAGTGATGAATAAGATAGCATGACAACTGCCTGCCTGGTCCACATGGGAGCTGGGCCACTGTTCTGTCCTCCCCTCCACGCTGCCAACACCATGATGCTGGCAGATGTGACCAATGCTCCTGCCTGTTCGGGTGATGATGGCTCTGAGGAAACAAAGAACACAGCAGCTCACTGGTCTCCGTGCTGATGCTCCCAGGTAGCCACTGCTCCTCTTAGTTTGGGATTGTTTTTAAATTTTTTCCATTTTGGGTAATATTTAGTCTCCACATGATCATTCTTACAGATCTTTATTGAGTACAAGTGTATGGGGCAAGAAGCAATGGGGAGAATTTTAGGTTTTCTATGGTTCAGTGGAGAAGCAGTCCTCTCCCCATCAGCAAACATTATTTTTATCCTTAGGAGTCCTGTTGTTATTCTCTGTGCACAGTGGAGGAAGTCAGTTTGAGAGAGAAAACTTCTGTTTCCGGTACTTTGATTTTCTTTTATATCAAATATCTTGTATCATCTATTCATTTCAAGGTGTAGATCTGGGACCTGTGCCATCCTCAAATGTGCGGGCAGGGTTTTGTTTTGGTTTGGTTTTTCACCGAGCACCAGCTTCCTCTGTTGCCTGAACAGCTGTGTTTGGTTCTTGGCAGCAAGTGTCTTCTGGAGCTTAGAACTGCCTTGCCAGGAACATGTGTAGAGTGTCTTGAATGAAAAATAAACCTTGGAAAATTTGTTTCTTGCCGTTAAGAAGCATTTGGTAGCTATACATGTTGGGTGCCTAACAAGAACAAGAAATTTTAGTTATAACAGGGGTTCACTTTCATCTACAAGGTAAGAAGTGATAGTTAGAACAATGGAATTGATGTACAACAGCAGCTTATTTGTGACTTCTAGTCTTTATTCCAAAATGTTTATTAAACTTAGCTGTATACAAAATTATGGGTGACAGCATGAATATCAGGCATGGAGGGGAGAAAATACAGGGATTTGCTTCAAGGACAAATTTGAATAGGAGAGTTGGGATTTTATTTGCAAAGAGTTAGGAGCTGTCGAAGGTGTTTAAGCAAACACTGAAGGTGACCAAAATGGTGCCCTAGGGAAATTAATCAGGCAATGATGAATGGGGTGAATTGGTGAGGGAGAAAGAAGGGAAGCAATCAGGAGACAATTATAATAAGATGTGACTTGGGGCCACTGGAGAGAATGAGAACAGAGCCTGGGCGAGATGATAGACCTTGTGCTGTGGATCAGTGGTTGGGGCCATGGCTCCTGGGTATCTGGGGGTAAAATCCTCTAGTCCTGCCAATATCCCATAACTTCCAAATCTTTATCTCTAGCCCATTTCTCTCTCTTGAGCACCAGACCCATTTACATTCCACTGAAAAATACTATTCAAAATTCCTAAAACAGAACTACTCATCATCACTCCCCAAACTGCTCCTTCACTTCTCTCACCACATCCTTTTAATTCTTGTTCTTGACTGATAATGTCTCTAAGGTAAGCAGTTAAACACATCTTTCTCTCCTGGGGCTTATGAACTGAGTGCGAAACAAGCATGGGTCTGTTGGCAGTGGGGTGCATGTGAATGTTTAGCAGCCAGCTTGCAAAGTTCCAGAACATTTGACCATGAGTTCTTGTGAGCTGGCATCAGCTGACTCCAGCACACCACTGTGACCAGAGTCACAAGATCAGCTTTATTACTGGTAAACTGGAGAATCTGACTTGATGCTTTAGCTCCAACCTTCCAGACATATATAACTGAATTGAGAAGTTTATGATACAATAATATTATCATATATACTGGTAATAACAGTCATCTCTAAAGATGTTAGGCTTTGTGAAGTGCTTTACCATTTATCCTCACATTCCTCAGAAGGCCCTGGAAGATGTTTAGCTTGCCCCCTTACACTCATCTGCTGGAGGAATTCAGAGGAGGGCGGGAAAAGGTGGCAGGAAGGGCACTCACAGGGGAGGGAGCCTGTCACGGGCCAGGAGGGCTGGAAGGATTTGAGCAGATGGGGGAAACGGAGAGAAGCCAGGTTTGGAGCAGACCTCACAGACCGCCCAGAGCCTGAGTTGGCACTGAGAAGTCATGGGAGCTTCTGAGCAGGACAGTGGCAGGCCTGAGGCAGGGTCACAGAGGGGCAGCCCTGCAGTGAATGTACCATGGTCCAGAACGGGACTCCTTGAAGGTGCAGAGAGCTGAAGCTGCTACTTCAGCTGGGTCACTATTGCAAATGGCCCGAAGAGAACCATGGAAGCCTCAACGGGTACCATTCATTCATTCAATGCATATTGACTACGTGCCTATTATGTGCCAGGCACTTCTAGGCATTAGTAATACAGAGTGAATAAAACAACCCCTGCTTCATGAGATTTACATACTTGTCTGTTACTGGAAGGAAACAGACAATAAATAAAATTATTCAAGAATCTCAAGCAGGCCAGATGGTGATAAATGCTGTAGAGAGAAATAAAGGGGACAGGGCATGCCAGGATCGGGTTGGGGTGGCAGTCTAAGATTATCCAATTAGGCTTCATTGAGGAGATGACATTTTAGCAAAGATCTGAAAGAAACCAATGATGGTAGTGATGGAAACAGGCATAAATGTGCCAGACCAAGGAGGCAGATCATAAAGAAATCATTTTAAAAGGAGAGAGGATGGGCACATCAAAATCTCAGAAATCACACTTAAAGAACTTATCCACCTAACCAAACACCACTTGTTCCCCAAAAACTACTGGAAAAAAAAAGTCTACCTTAAAAAAAAAATTGAGGCCAGGCTCATGCCTGTAATCCCAGCATTTTGGGAGGTTGAGGTAGGAGAATCATTTGAGACCAGGAGTTCAAGACCAACCTGGGCAACAAAGCAGGACCCTGTCTCTACAAAAATAAAAGTAAAAAATTAGTTGAGTGTGGTGGTGCAGGAGGATTTCTTGAACCCAGAAGGTTGAGGCTATAGTGAGCCATGACTGTGCCACTGCACTCCAGCCTGGGCAACAGAGCCAGATCTTATTTCATAAATAAATAAATAAAGAGAGAGACAGAGAGAATCTCACAATTATTTAGGCAGTGAATTGGAAAACAATAGTTTTGGGTTATAAAACCAAAATTGTAAAATACAATTAAACCAAACTTGAAATGTGTTTGACCTTTATGGTTTGAAAAGAGTCAGTTAAATATTTCAGTTATTGTTTACTGGATCTTACGGAGGGCATTTTATGCTATAGTAGTATTTGTAGTGTTTATAACACTAGGGGATTGAGACAGTCTTATCAGAGTGAAATGAATAGCAAATAGAGACTCATCATAACAATATGCTTCAGATTCCCCAGTTACTCCCAGTGCCTTAGTAATGTACCTTTTTTACCTCGTGCTATAAACATTTATCCTTGGCCCAGGCACGGTGGCTCATGCCTGCAATCCCAGCACTTTGGGAGGCCGAGGAAGGAGGATCAGTTGAGGTCAGGAGTTTGAGACCAGCCTAGGTCAAGATGATGAAACCCTGTCTCTACTAAAAATACAAAAATTAGCTGAGCATGGTGGCACACAACTGTAATCCCAGCTACTCACGAGGCTGAGGCAGGAGAATCACTTGAACCCAGGAGGTGGAGTTGCACTGAGCCGAGATCACACTGCTGTACTCCAGCCTGAGCAACAGAGCAAGACTCCATCTTGTAACTGGTTTCTCTGGATGGAAGAGGAATGGTGTTCACAGTCTCTAATTTGGGCCTGTCATCTATGTACAAAGACATGTGCCAAGTCCTCTAAGGCATACGAAGAAGGTTATACTCTAGAACAAAGAATAAAAAACAAAACGACAACAACAAAAAAAACCACATTTATCCTCAAGGTCACAGATCCCCCACTGTAGTGGATGCTGTGGTGAGCTGCCCAGAGCCCCCTTCAGGAGGGAGGCACCATTCCTTCTGCCACTGACAATGGCAGAGCTGATGGCTTAGTGTTAGGAGGTGATAGCTCACTGACAAAAAGAGACACCTGCCTAAGGACAGGCCCCTCCACTTAATGGTTAATGATCGGGGGAAGATTACAAAGGCCAGGTCATCTCGTTTCAAGGGGTGACAACTCCGAAAGACCAGCCTAACTCTAGAGCATCTTATTAGATTGGCTGAGATCTGTACTGTAACTAAATTGTGGTTCAACTCTTTCTCTGCTCAATCTACTCCTTCATGCCCCCATAGATGATGATCCCAAGGGCATCTCCAATAGACTTCTGCACACAAATTCCCATCTCAGGTCCAGTTTCCTGGGAACTCACCCTAAGAACACATTGTTGATACTTACCCTATTTTAGCTGCCTTCTGCCCCTGACCACCTTCCTTTATATACACAAGTATGGCTTGTCTTCCCATTTAGAGTGTAACCTTCTTTGTATGCCTTAGAGGGCTTAGCACATGTCTTTGTCCATAGATGACAGGCCCAAATCATAGGCTGTGAACACCATTCCTCTTCCATCCAGAGAGACCAGTGACAATTCTGTCAATGACACACCCTTAATGCATAGAAGGGGAGAGCTCAGGCCCACAAGTATTTGTGCCAAACCATTTATCGAAAGCTGGTTTTGCTGGGGATGCAGCCAAAACCCTCTCTTATTCTTTGCCAGGAAGTGAAAGTCTTTCATCACCACCTGGGAGGAAAAAGGGGTTCAACGGCCCAGCAGAAACAATGTCACATTGTGAATTTGGTACCAAACTCAGCTCTCAATGCAACGAATTTGAGACATTTATTTTAAACATGTGTTTTTCAGTCAGAATAATTTGATGGGGGTAGGGGGAAGTGGGGACTCACTTTCAACATAGTAATCTTTTTTATAAAGGTCTGTGAGTAATTGTTTACCTTTTAAAAATAACAGAAAATCTCATATTCAATATTTTTAAGTTGTGGGGTAATAGTTTATAATTAGGTGCTAAATGGTGTGATTATATTTAACCAAAATGTTTTAACTTGGTGAAAAAGAGCCTAGCTCCTTTCCAAAGCTTTCTGAGAGAGCAGGTTACTTAGTCTCAGAGGAAGTAAACCTATGTACTACTAGTAAATCTCAGCTCTATTAGAAAGGGCAGAAGAGTTTCCAACAGAAAAAACATCTACTGGAGGAAGAGGTTTGCCTCAGACAACTTAGGAAGGGGGGCATAGGGAGAGAAGGGGAAGAGTGCCAGGAAAATCCAAGAGGAGGCTGGCAGCTCTTACAGGAAAACTAGGTAAATTCCACACATTAGAGCCTCCCAGATCACCAGGGTGTCTTAGTCACTTCGGGATGCTATAACAAAATTACCATAGAAACGTATTTCTCTCCATTGTAAAGTCTGGGAAATCCAATATCAAGGTGTCAGCTGATAAGTTTCCTGGTGAGGGCTCTCGCTCTGGTTTGCAGATGGCCACCTTCTTGCTGTATCCTCACATGGTGGAGAAAGAGATCATCTCTCTTGTGTTTCTTCCTTTCAGGGCACTAATCCCGTTCAGGAGGGGTCCACACCCATGTCCTAATTACTCCCAAAGGCATAACTACAAATACTCCTAATCTCACATGGGGGATTATGGCAACAACATGTGAATTTGTGGATGAAACAAACATTCAGTCCAGAGCAATGGATACAAAGCAAAAATAAACAAAAAACCAGTTTGCCTGTTACATGAATACACTGTTACATACATGTTTGTTCTCTACATAGAACTTTGGTTCACAACCCTGGCTACACAATAAACTACCTGAGTTTTTAAAATATCAGTAACCAGGCTCCACTGCACACTAATAGAATCTGAATCCCAAAGGGTGGGGGTGGGGGTGGGGGAGAGTATCCATGTTTTTTACAAACTCCATAGTTATCCTCCTGTGCCACCAACCTTGAAAAACCACTGGTTTATAATATTTGTTGAGTATGGCTGAGATGGATAACTCCACTTGTCCTCCTTCACGTAAAGCTAAAAAGATAGAGAGGCATAGACTCTTTCCCTACTCTCTACTGATATTTGGGTTTGTTAAATGAAATAACTACTTTTAATTGGTGGGGCATTTTCCTCTATAGTCTAGACAACTCAAACTTGTACCACTAAGCCCTTGCCAGGTGGCAGAAAGCAGGGCATTGGAAGGTATTGCCTTCCCATTGAGTACCAGCTCCACTTCACCAGCCAACCTACAAGACAGTGTTCCACAATGCCACAAGGACAAATAGCCACATGCTTCTCCCATATCCCGGGTACCATCTTGAAGGGAGGAGAAAGAACTTTGAAAGATACTACATTTCCTGGAATTATCCAAGCAGAGAAAACTGAGTTACCTGATGGGACAGTTAAAATTATTGAATTGGACTGAAATGGCAAGATGGAACTAAGCTTTAGTTCTTTTCCCACATCCCAGCAGGAAGAAAGAAAATCAGCTCTTCTATAGACAAAATAACAAAGCTCACATTTTCTCTGTACACATAAGGAAAGGTAAGGGATTTTGGACCCTGAAACACGAGCTTATGAATATACACATGCATACATCCATTTGCCTGTGCATATGTGGATATGCACATCCACCCACTGTAGACCAAGGCAGAGAAAACTAGCACTTAGGGAGTGCAGCCAACAGTGGGCCGCACCTGGCATGTTCTGGGATTCTGGTGGCAGAGAAGGAATGCCGGCTTCTTGGGAGCAAATCCTGACATACATGTGTGGGAAATGTTGCAAAATGAAACTCGTTGGGCGCTGTTGACAAGACAATTTTTCTGGGAACAAGTGCAGCCATTCAGTGAGCTGGCCAGACACAGCAGTGTTCATTTCAGATGTTTCTATTGTCCCGGACATGGGAGTTCTACTTGTCACCATTTGGTGTCAGCATTTTCTATCCTAAAAGTCCTCTGGGTTCTAAAGCAAAGGCCCTGTTGGAGAAAGTCTGGAGTATTTTATTGTGAATAAATAACTTTATTTCAGAAGACTTTAATATTCCTTTTAGCCTTCACTGATTTCTTTTTTGCTTTGTAATTGTTTTTCTTTTTGCAGAAAGAAGGCAGCATTCTCTTCATCTGCAAAGGCGAACATCAGAATTACACCTTTCATTCATTGACCAACAAATTTTGAGGACCAGTATCTTGTAACACAGGTCCCTCCTCCTACAGAGCTTTTCGGATTCTAGAGGGCAGCATGCACAGGGCAGAGGCAGCTGTTGGAGGCAGCAGTTCTGTAGAAAGAAAGGCTAACCCTGGCTTTGAGCCTGGTTTTACCACTTAGCAGCTATGTGGCTGTGGGCAATAAACTTAACCTCTCTGAGCTGCAGCCTCTTCACACATAAAACATACATAATAAACACTTTTCTTCCAATTTTAGCATGAAAATTAAAGATGTTGAGGGATGCATAGGCAGAGCGCAGAGGATGTTTAGGGCAGTGAAGCTATTCTGTATGACACTTATAATGGTCATTATATGTTTACCCAAACAGGTAGAGTATACAACACCAAAAGCGAACCCTCCTGCGTAAACTACGGACTTTGGGTGACAATGATGTATCAGTGTAGGTTCATCGATTGTAACAAATGTACCACTCTGGTGGGGGTGTTGAGAATAGAGGAGGCTATGCATTTGTGAGGGCACAAGGTGTATGAGATATCTCTTTACCTCTGCTAAATTTTGCTGTGAACCTAAAACTGCTCTAAAAAATAAATCTGTTTTAAAAAATTGAAGGTGTTGGCCGGGCGCGGTGGCTCAAGCCTGTAATCCCAGCACTTTCGGAGGCTGAGGCGGGTGGATCACGAGGTCAGGAGATCGAGACTATCCTGGCTAACATGGTGAAACCCTGTCTCTACTAAAAATACAAAAAACTAGCCGGGCGTGGTGGCGGGCGCCTGTAGTCTCAGCTACTTGGGAGGCTGAGGCGGGAGAATGGCGTGAACCCGGGAGGCGGAGCTTGCAGTGAGCCGAGATCACGCCACTGCACTCCAGCCTGGGAGACACAGCGAGACTCCATCTCAAAAAAAAAAAAAAAAAAAAAAAAAAAAAAAAAAAAATTGAAGGTGTTACAATGGTATGTTTCTTGCAGAACTATTCACAATAGGAAAGATATGAAATCAACCTAAGTGTTCATCAATGGATGATTGGATAAAGAAAATGTGATATATATAATATATACAATGGAATACTACTCAGCCCTGAAAAAAAAGAATGAAATTATGTCTCCTGCAGCAACATGGATGGAACTGGAAGCCATTATCTTAAATGAATAACTTAGAAACAGAAAGTCAGATACTGCATGTTCTCACTTATATGTGGGAGCTGAATCATGTGTACACATGGACCTAAAGAATGGAATAATAGACACTGGAGACTAGGAGGGGTGTGGGACAGAGGGGGAGATATTATAAAATTACTGAATGAGTACAATGTGTACTATTCAGGTAAGGGCTACACTAAAAGCTTGGACTTTTTATAACTATGCATTAGACCCATGTAACAAAACAACACTTATACCCCCTAAGTCTATAAAAAATTTAAATATTAAAAATGGAAAATGTTACTTGCATTCATAGGTACAAATTAAATAGCTGTTTAATGTGTAGGTAGGGGCTGCTCTGGTTGTGTAGTCTTCCACCTCTGGGCTGTGCCAATAGCATGGGGTTTGGAGTCAAATCCAAGTTCCATCATTTACACTTAATGGCACTTTGATGACAGATAATTTGCCTAAATCCTCTATATGTGCATTTAAATTTGTATAGCTATTGCCAATCTGCAAATTGTTCTCCATTGACAATATACCAGTTTGCACTCAGATTACACACCGGAGAGGTGATGGGCCCATTGTCTTATGTTCATTACACACGGTGTACTGTCAAACTTTGGGATGTTTGCAAATACGAAATGTAGAAGAAGCTATCCCAATGGAGTTTTCATTTGCTTTTTCTTCAATATGAGTGAGGTTGTGCATCTTTTTGTCTATTTAAGGGCTATGTGTATTTCTATAAATCATCCTTTCTGTCTTTTGCATATTTTTTATTGGGTGTATGGTGTTTCCTTATTGATTTGTGTGATTTGCTTATATATGACAAAATTAGTCTTCTTCCTGCGTATAAGTTTCAAATACTTCCCCCAGTTTGATTTCTGACTTCTGACTTGGTTAATGGTGGTGGCTTTTAAACGTGCAGATTTTTTAAGTGTAGTCAAATATATCAATCTTACTCTTTATGGCTTCTTTGTTTGTGTCATACTTAGCCCTTTCCCACTCAGAGATTCTAAACCCTAGGCAGCAGCGGGTGGGATGGGGTGGAGTGGGATGGTGAGGGGTGGGAATAATGTTCTCTTCTAGGTTTTTTAGGGATTTATTTTCACATTTGAATCTTTAATCCACTGAAATTTATTTTTGTGTATCAAGTGAGGTATTGGATCCAAGTTTCTCTTCCCCCAAGTAGCTTCCTACTTGTCCTAGATTCTTTTATTAAATAATCCATATTTTCTCCACTTATTTAAAACCAAGTTCACTTTTGAAAGAATACACAAAGGCCCATGACTTCTAAATTTGGCAGCAGGAGGATGTCTAAGCTGCAGAATGTTAGACGAGGCTCTTAGCTCTTTCTGAATTGTATTTCTTGCTATTTGGAAAAAGAAGAAATAAAAGTGCATTGATCTGAAAATTTAATTCAACAAATAGCTGTGTGGGAGAGTGGAAAGAACACAGGCTCTTAAGTTAGAAAACCTGACTTCACTTCTCATATTGACTAATTGCAGGGAAGTTATGCAACTGCTGTGTGCCTCAGCTTTTGCCTTTGTAAAAATGGACCTAATAATGGCATCTATGCCATAATATGCTGTGCAGTTAAAGTGCATTAGTGCTTTATAAACTATACAGGACTACAGGCACATGAGTTGTTATTTGAATTTTTACAAGGTGGTACACCATTGCCAGTTAACTCATACAACACAATTCTAGATTTGTGAATGTTTCACCATTCTTGAAATCCTTTCACCTTCTTTGAAGATGGTTAGCTTATTTCTCCTTGCTGGAGAATATTCTGGATTTGCTATTTTTAGTTTGGTTAAATGTGTTTTCTGACAGCATCTGAGTGGCAGTGAGGGGTTGGTAGGAAAGAAAGAGGTGACTGGGAAGTTAGAATCATCCACTGGGTTGCCAGGGAGAGGGAGCTGAGGCCGCACTTGGAATAATGATCTGGAAGGAGGTAGAAAACGGGAAACCACAGGGAGAATGAATGAGCTTATTTAGAATCTTGTATATATAATGATTACCTAGTTAAACTTTCGTTTTATGATTTACTTTATTGCAAAGTTTTGTGGACTGTACAGAACAATGGTGAGAGTCAGTTAATGCAGTGATCGAATCAATCCCTCCTCTTATTAATAGTTATTTAACCTCTCCAAAGACTTTTTCTCATCTGTGCCCAAGGCATTATAAAGATTGAATGAGACAACATTCATTTCTCATGCTCATGTGACTCTAGATAGGAGGTTGGAGTGGGCAATTGAGAACAAAGTGTAAATTCATGATGGTGACTTGTGTTTGCCCTTGGGAGATGCAGTAGAAACCATCTGCAATCAAGAGGTGCAACCGGAATCTGGACACTCGCTCTTCTCCATCCCATAGACAAATGCTCCAGCCCACTTTGAAGGCAACAGAAGCCTGGGAGGAAGAAGATGCCTCTAATACCCTGTCAAGTTTGCAACAAAGGACATGGGATAATGACTCCATTATCACAGGGGAAGGAAAAGTGTCCAGATAACAAGGGGTGGGGACAATGAGTAGGGGCTAAAGGGGGAGGGGGCATCCATGGGACCAGCAGAAGGTCCAGAAGAAAGTGAAAACAGATATGGGTCACTAATTGAAGAAAAATGTGACTGTGATTTAATTTGTTGGAACCAGAAAAACCTGCTCTTCAGAATTCTTTTCTGCAAGCCTGGCCTTATCAATCCGTCAGTCAGGTCATCAGTCGATCACATGGTGGCTGCTGTCAATCATGTTTCCCAGCACTGGAACCCTCCACACACAGTATTACAAATGCTCACAGCCCTGAGGGAAAGGTGGCTCTAAAATTCCTTTTCTGTTCAGCACATTTTGTGTATGCTTGTTAAGTTTTAAAAATTTGTAAACAAGTTACCCAAAACACCCCACTCATCAGTTGGCCCAGGTGCTGTAACGAATTACAACAATATTTTCTCTCTGTCAGTGATGGTTAGTGAATTCTCAGGAAGTATACTGGAAACCAGCACAGGATACTTTGGCCTTTTTGGTGGGGGTCACGCGATTTAATTTTCACGGTGAATTTTGATTAATTCTATACTAGTCTAGAGAATTGTCTGTGTGTCCGTGTGTGTGTGCTCTCATGAATGAAAACCCACCCGCAGAGCTCACTCCATGGACCTGGACCTGTGCAGTCACACGGGACCCTACATTCAGAAGACTCTCACCTTGTCTCACAAGTCGAAGAAGGGGACTCTCGTCTTCATTTTGCACTGGATCTCACAACATATGTAGCCGGTCCTGCTCTCCATGAAATATTGGACGTTGTTCAAAAGCACAAGCAAGTTTTTATGTTTTAATTAATTTAATTAATTAATTAATTTAGAGATGAAGTTTCACTGTGGAGTGAAGTGGCCTGATCTCGGCTCACTGCAACCTCTGCCTCCCAGGTTCGAGTGATTCTCCTGCCTCAGCCTCCCGAGTAGCTGGGATTGATTATAGGTGCCTGCCACCAGGCGCAGCTTATTTTTTGTATTTTTAGTAAAGATGGGGTTTCATCATGTTGGCCAGGCTGGTCTTGAACTCCTAACCTCAGGTGATCCACCCACCTCAGCCTCCCAAAGTGCTAGGATTACAGGCGTGAGCCACCATGCCTGGCCACAAGCAAGTTTTTAAAAGTTTGATAGTTATCAGTATGATTAAAATACCTACGATTCCAGGATATAGAAAAATCATATACCAATGCATACAGGGCAAAATGCTTCATCATGCCAGTATACACAAAGGTCAAGAATCTCCAAAGAACAGCAGTAAAGAAGTGGTTTTGTTTTGAAAGGAAAAAAAACTATAGTTAATTTTTTCTTGGTTTGGGAGTACTAATCCTCACTATATCATATGCTGTTGTTAGAGGAAGTGAGAGAGAAATGAAAAGACTGAGAACAGAAGATCAGTCAAGGGTGTAGAAAAGAGATAGAGAGGAATCAAGGAGTGGGAGACTGAAATGAATCAAGCACTAAGCCCTGTCGTCTTCTTTCGATGCAAAAAGGCAATTTGCATGGTCACTCCTTCTGATGGGGTCACCCTGATACTGATTTATCAGGGACACAGTTCATGTACTATCTTCACTGCGTGCTTTTAAAATTTTTGTTCATCTGGGCTTGCTTTGAAAGGACTAGAAACCTCTTCGTGGAGATATATTTGAGTTGCTGGACTCAAAGTAAAACCAAGCTGTGCAAGAGGCTTTGATCTCTGAACTTTCTCTATGCTTGGAGGCTTGCCTTAATCTGTAATAATAAAGTTTTAAAAATAAGTTAACCTCTTTTCTTATATTGTGCAAATATATCTTTCAGTGTCGCTTTTCTTTTGTGGCCCCTGCCGTTTCTTTCACCTTTCCTTTTAAACAGATACATGTTCACTAAAAAAACGACTCTGTTGCTTTAAGAAGAAAAAAGTTAGACTCGGTCAGTCTGAAAATGCAACACCTGGCGCCCATATTTAGAAATGTTAAAACACACACACACACACATACACACACACATTAGCCTTTGGTACTGAACTGTGCAAAACATTACAGGAAGCTCATTGCTTAAGGGCAGTTGAGTTTAATCATTTATTTGTAAGTCAGTTGTTCGGTTGTTTGGTACTTAAAAGCACTTTTTCCCATAGAAGCAAAGCTATAAATGGTGCTTTGGTCCCCAGGCTCAAAAGACTGTTGGAGAAACGTCTGCCCTGGCGATGAAAATAGAAAATGATTCTGTGCTGATACAGTCATTGAGCCAAAAAGAAAAGCTAACAAAGCAAGGAATGGTTGGCCTT